AATAGAATCGTTTTACATTGCGTTTTCGCGAGGATGGACGTAATCGAATTTTCACGTCCTACGCCAATGTGCGCAGTGCCGAATACGCAAACGCAGAAATCCTTGCGCAGCAACAGGCGTCGTAGGATCGAGCGTAAAATTAGGCAAGTGTGTCGCTTTCCATGGGGCTACTTAAAACGCACCTGTGGATACCTCGTAACTCTACGTGTTTCCGGTTTTTAGTATTTTTATCAAGCAAATTACGAGGTTAACGCGAAAATCCTCTTTACCACTAGAACATCGATCAGCAATCGATTTAATGGAAATGGTTTTTCGGTGCCTAGGTTATGAGTGATGTTTATGAGATGATTGGTCAGTGATATTCTGTAACTTATAGTGAAAAGAAAATTTGAAACTGTTCGAAGAATGAAACACAGAGTATCGTTTAAATCGATGATCGACGGGGACCGTTTCATCTAGAAAGTTTCCCCCAGGATCAGAGCGTGACAAAATTACTTTAATCCACGATGGAAACAGAGCGTGAGTCGAACGAGTAAGAGTTTCACGAGCACGAATATCGAGCATTCTTTTTCCCACGCTGGTGGTGTTTGACGATCGATTGTTATCGTTCTTTCTTTCTTTTCTTTTTTTTTTTTAACTAACGAGCATAACTCTACCTAAGATCAGCATTTTATGTACAACAATATTATTTTCATACAGGGATACTTTCTTTGATTAAAATGTTAAACAAGCGAGCAATAATTTGTTTCATTCTCTGTCAGTACTTTCGTCTCGTACGATTATCGATTAGTTCGGGACACATTTGTTAAATCTATAATTACTCGATGCTTTGATACTTGCAACGATCATTCATTTCATTCGTTTTTATCTCCTTAGAGCATTCTACTATGTAGGGTAATACCAAGTCAAGAATCTTACTGTCGAGAACGCAAGATTGAAATTGTCGACATAGAAGCAATTGAAAATTTCGATAGACAGTTTCAACGCGTTTCAAGTTTTTCTAACCACATTTTCACGTTTCATTCCAGTTAACTTCGTTATGCTCTCTGATGTCTTTATTAATGTTAGCAGTCCTACCAATATAATATTTATCGGTGACGACAGCCGTAAATGTTGTTACCAACTGGCATCAAGATAAATATTTCAACAAATTGTATACGTATAATGCTTTCGTATAAAAATACAAAGAAACCTCGTATTTTTTATATCACACACGTCTGGTAACGCGTTAATTAATCCTAACCTAACACTGCGTATTCGCTATTTTGTTCTCGCGTATACACGCGTTGTTATAATTACGTCACGGTCCGACGATTTCTACTTTACGTAATTCTTCGCATATTGCTTCTATATCGACCATTTTTTCTTTTTTCTTCGAGCTTCTAGTATTCTTCTGAATCGAGTTAGTAGAACGATCAAGGAACGTCATTTTCGGGGTCAACCCAGTAATCATGAATCAAAGTTAGTGGAACACGATGCACGCGCAGACTCCTTTCTTGCGCAGTCTCAAATGTTTCAACGGAGGAAACATCTGTCATCGACGTTGCGAAATTGCTTTCAATTTGCCGAAAAAAAATAAAACAAAAAAAAAATAGTGTCGCACGTTTCTTGTTCCCCACGCGAAACCTGCAAGTCAGCGTAAGTAAATCGTACATCACGATACTCGCACTTCGCGCTTCAATCTTCTTATGCTCAATCTGGTGATCTAATTTTTCAACAACGCGCGAATTATTTATATAAGAAAAACATAAAAGCTAAAATTGCATCTTCATATATTCGAATAAATTTTACACGAAGCACAGACTGATTCGACTGGTTCGCCGAGTGAGTGAAGTTTCACCGTGAAATTCTCTACACCCTACGTTGTGTTTTAATGCAAAAATAGTTTTCCAGTTGGATCGTCACGTCCGCGCGAAGCAGCCGGGGAGTTCCTCGACCTTAAGGCGGCTACCTACTATCCAGAGTCCACGCGAGCGCTTCGTGTTCATGGCAAAAGCAAAAGGTGTTAAATATGTACCAGGCATGAGGTACTGCATGTTCATCGCCTCCTCGCGCATTCTCTCGCCCCTCAAGCAAATCGCCGCGGCGCTAAACAAGATCGCGCTGACCAACGACCAACCGACGCCGACCCAAGCGACCACGTACGACCAGTCGTACGAGATTAGTGAGTTGTCCTTCAGGACCTAGAATCCGCGTCCAAGAAAAAAAAAAAAGACACGGGGGATGTTAGTCCAGCCGTTTCAGCGTTTTCGTGTCACCTGGCATGATGTATTGAACGTTCTGCGCCTGCTCGCGAGCGTGTTCCCGCCGTAGGCAGGACGCCGCGATCAGGAATAGCGTCATCGTGCCTAAACACGTGGCCACCCCCAGCCAGGCAAGGTAAAATGACCAGCCGTACCACTGCACCGCGTTGTCCCTTAAAACCTGCGGGCAAAGTACTCTTTGTACATTTTTCAGTTCTCCGTTTGGGATCGTTCCTCTCCAGCCTTGTCTGCCTCCTCCTCAGCTCTCATCTCTCCGGATCCTTTCTGGATATCCTTTGAAAAAGTTGCTGCGAGAAAGTTGTTAACCCTTTGCACGACACAACAGAGATTGATTCTACAGGTACCGTGCTATGGAGAATTTTAACCCTTCTAATCCCATTCTGGAAAGAATCTTTCCAATTAATAATATGGTTAGATATGGATCATTTTTAGGTAGGATGAAAATTTCATCTAAATATCCCAAAAAATGTAGCATCTGGAAATTTGTCATCCTTCTGTCTCTCCTTTGTTATTTCTAACTTTGTTAAAATGTAAAATTGACATTAATTTTTGCACTTCGGTTTACACCAGTTTCACTGCAAAAGTGTGCTAGAGTTGCTGGTTGATTGTATAAAAAGATGCTCAGAGTGCAAAGGGTTAATATTGAGTGAGATGAACCAATGTGTAATATTGGATTGATTGGACTAGCATTTTGTATTGGTTCACCTCACTTGAATGAAGTATATCTCTGAAAACGAGAGAATGTATGAATCTGAGAGATTGTATTTGATTATGTTACATCAAGATGGTTCAGATCTTCCCGATAAGCAGATAGAAATATTTTCGTAGCGTATTGAAAGCAACAAGCTACTTTCTAAGTTGCACAAGTCCGTTGCGGTTGCGAGTGTTTATCGCATCTTGATGCACACATTAATGGACATGATACCGACAGCGGAAATTCATAGACAAATGATGTAACCAATTTTCACAGGTGATTGCTTGAAAAGCGATAACCGGTGCTGAGTGAAAATGTCAATAACATTCTTAGGCTGGTTTACATGTGTTTGTCGTAGGAACCGGTGTCGGATTATATATAAAAAAGTGTTATTTATGGTGGTAAAAAACGGTGACTTACGTTGCTCCATTGTTGGTAGTATTCTTCTCCGACTATTTTCTCTTTCTCGTAATATTCCACCCCGTGCCAGAGACCCATGGCGCTAGCGCTTAACAAGCCTACGTTGTCAGAAAATTTTCCTTTGTAAATTTGGTATAAGAAATACTCTCTTTTAATCTTTCCCAAGAATTATTTTTTCTCAATGGAAAATTCAATAGTTTTTGATATTTTAATGAGTGAACAATGTGAAGATATCCAAATCTTTTTCAAGATTTATTTTTTCTCAATGGAAAACAGTATTTTTGATACTTTAATGAGTGGAAAATTTGAAACTAAATCTTTTTCATAACTTATCTTTTTTTCAATAGAAACCTCAATACTTCTCGATACTCTAGTGAGTCAGAAATGTGATAATATCCAAATAGTTTTGCAATGAAACAGGCTAGAGTATGCATTGAATTTATGAAACCACTAACATGCTAGCAACATCAAGATTGCGGTGGCTGTGATATTTCCTGGTGACCTCTTCCAGCAGCCCACCACTCCCGTCCAGAATGCCGTAAAGATCGCAACGAATCCCACTATAAACAGAGCTATCACAGATCTGCCCATGTCTGAAAAAACAATAAACCAAGCAGTGTATGAAAGTAACCAGTATGTATAATCCCGATGAAATCGAGTCAATTATATTTCCATTCATTTCTACGTACGAAGTCGAGTCATTGCATCGTCGGAGAAGCCCCTCGTAAGATTCTCCTCGTCGGGAATGAAGTAATTGATGTTCATGCAGTGCGTCTCCACAGGACTTAGGTACGTTTGAACTGTAACAATTAGCAGACGAAAGGGGAACTCGCATTAATTCTATACTTCGAACTGACACTCTCCTCTCTACAACCGAAATTGCGCAAAACCTCGCGAATTGCGAAAATCGATGAAGTCTGTTTAAGGAAGTTTCACGGTTGTCGACGATTAATTGGACAGTCATGGAAATTTGCCTCGGAGACGTTCTAATTACGCACGTGTCTAATGGCTGGTTACAACACGGAGAGGCTCTGAATTCTTCCACTCTTCGAATTGCATACGAAATAGTCGTGTTACGTTCAACATTTTACCAGACCACTTTCCAACAGAAGATCGAATAGGGAAATGATGCAAAGTTCTAGAGCACCGATGTGCAACCTTTTCTTCGCAACGAGCCAAAATTGAAAAGCCAATTAACTGCAACCTTAAGAAACCTACATCGTCAATTAAAAAATTCTTAATTCATAAAAATCAATTAAAAAATTCTCAATTGATAAAATAGAACTTTTCATTTTCAACATAGATAATAAAACTTCTTTTTAAATTTTATTTTCTGAAAATTTAGGAGCTGTTACTGTTGACACTATGTTTACTTACACAGATACCATATGGCGCCTCCACAGATTCACATATTTTGCTAAACGAAAAAATTTTCTAATCCATCTCACTGAAGTGTGTTCCACAAAGAATTTCGGCGGCTCGAAAAGTTCCTCATTACTAAGGACAAGGAATATAGGCAGCGTCAAGACTAAACCGCGGGTAAAAGTTATTACTGCATGAAACGAAGTGATTTTTATACGGTCAGAGCAACATTGTAATCCGATAGGCGGCTCGAATCAGCCGTCACGATAATTCCATCGAGTGGAATTGAATTCCTCGGCTAAAAGGTGTCGGTTCTTTTTTCCAATACAGCCCTGGGTGTATCGTGCACACGCGTATCGAAAAGCACGTGACCCAGAATGCAATGCGCTATCACCGGCTGCAAAGTAGACACCGTGTGTGTGTGTATGTATACTTCGTACGAGCTGGCTGGCGTGCTCGTTGTACACCACTAGTCTTTCGTGGACAACGGTACTCCTTGGTCATTCCGAATCTACGAAATACTACTTTCGAAAGGCATTTCACGCGGGTGAAATGGAGAAAAAGTCGCGACGACGTCGCGATGCTTTCACGGTTCTCTTACAGTTTTCTAGGAATTGGCCAGCCGAACAAAAGTGCGATTGTTTTTAATTGCGAATCGTCGACCTTTTCCCGACACGATCTCTTCTCGATTCACTTCGGGTACCATTCGTGTGGAAAACACTTTCGAGATCCTTTGCCTCCTCGTTAATTTTATTGCTCCTTTCCTTTTTACTGTTGCATCGAGAGAGAGACGTGTTACGTCGACAGTTTAACCGATCGTGTCTCAAGATCTTTCTGTTCTTTCTCTTTTAATTATTCGTGGAATAGGAACGCAAAAAAAAAAAAAGGAAACGAGAATACTCGAGATTGTGTAAGTAGGCAAAAACGCAGCAGCGTAGTTCGCGTGTCTAATTAAGCTTTCAACGTCCCCAGGTGAGGCGTGTGAGGGATGCCGCGTGCAAATCAGCGCGTACCGTTTGATATATTTGAAATTCAGCCAGTGGAGGCCGTTTCCTCGACCTTCTTCGAATCTAGTTTCGCCTAAACGAGGCGCCATGCCAAGATCGTTGACTCGTGGCTAACTGTATACGTGTTACACGCGTTAAGACGGCACCTCGCCATTCAGGAAAACGAACCTAATCTCTCCCCCCATCGTTTTTATCACCGCGACAGGATACGTGGAAAAAATTCGAATAAAAGAAAAGTCTGGGAGGAAACCGGTCGATGACTGGTTTCCTCAAATTTTTCACCTGTGCATCCATGGTGGTCGCGCGCGCGCGCATACACCTGACCTCCATTTTGTAGGAAGATTTCTGCGTGATGGTGGAAATATCGATGAATATTTTGTCGCTAGGTACACAATAAGGTATTAACCTTAGATTTATATTTTAACGCGTTTAGGACGGTGTGACCCACCGTGGGTCATCGAGTGATGCTCGTGTTTGCAGACATGATGGGTCACTCTAGCATGATGGCAAAGAAGATTGGTCAGAGTGACCCACGTGGGTCATTGATCAATGCTCTTATTCACCGACGTGACCCACCATGGGTCATTTCAACATGGATGACAAAAGATTGAATAGACAGGTGACTCATCGTGGGTCATCGATCAATGGTTTTATTTACCCACGTGACTCACCGTGGGTCATTTCAACATGGATGACAAAAGATTGAATAGACAGGGTGACCCATCATGGATGCTTTTCTTTAACAACGTGACCCACCAATTTTAGTCATTCCAGCACGGATGATGTGTTAATTTAGTGTTAAATTATGTCACACCTAGAAAATGTTTTCGAACACACGTCCGTCGTATCTACTTGTCGATTTTCTTCGTCGGGGTGTTCACGTACGATCACGTATTCAAAGTGAATCAAATACGAAGCCGGAAGTGGAACGCCGGAAGCAAACGGAACGTTGAAACCGATAAGGAACTGGCGGTCGAAGAACGGTACAAGACGGTAACACGTGATGTATCGATCGTTTCGATTGTTTTCCGCTCAAACTAAGGGAACTTGTACATCAACCGTTGTTCCCGTTCCCGGAGAATTTCTCAGTGTATACTTTCTATTCCGTTTCCTTCGTTTCACGGTTCATAATAGAACCCGATATCGCACTACGAACGAACGATATACCAACGCTACTATATAACGAAAGAAGAATGAAAAAAAAAAAAGAGAGAAAAAATAGCCGTAGAATGAACTAGGCAGGGGAGGAGGTCTGCCACATTCATTGTCCTTTGATTCGTCGCGATAGAAGGTGCTCTTCCTTCGAAGGATACAGGTTCTTCTCTTCGTGAAACTCGAGACTTCCGGACAAACTGGAATCGCCCAGTATAGAAAATGGCCGCGTCTCTCTTCGTGAGAAAATGCGAACCTTTTCGTATAATGAGCCCATAGAATATTCAAGTTTCAGCCAGCCACCGGAATGAGTGAGCGTAACGCGCTCGCGCGCGAGCGTTGATAGGCGAAACGGGTGAACAGTAGCCGCTTATAATTCCGTGCTACTTTTCTTGCTTGGAAAATTCCAACGAATTTTCCTCGAGAAAACTGTGTCTACTTCTTTTACAATTTAAACATATCTTTTATTAAATTTTTTTAAAACTAACTTTAACTTTTATTAAAATCCACAAAGATTATTAACCATTTATTTCTAACATTAACATTAAGATCTTTAACAATTCATTTTTAAGATTAAGATTTATAACAATTCAGGCAAAACATTGTTACCTTTTAAACTCTGTTTCAGCGTTCTCCCTTATAAATTCAAATTTCCCGCGAAAAAGGAGCGCATTCAAAATGCAAATAGATCTATTCGTAATGTTCCTAACGATCCATCTAAGGATCTAGGTGGCAAAAAACGAATTCCTCGACCGAAATAAGCGTCTGTATCGCGTATAATTTAAGCACATTATCTTTGTTTATGGTAGATATGAATACACATCTATGAATAGAGAAGCGCTAGTCGATGACAGACGGGCAGGTGCATCACGTTGATTCAGTCATATATGTTACGTGGCCCGCATAACGCCGTCGTCATTGTCCCCGTGGCTTTTACACCGTGATGAATTTTTCTGTAATCGTCGCGACGTTTTATCGACCCTGTTGCAACGCTACACGCATGGCGAAACAACGATCGGGTCCCTTAACGTGGCGTGTTCGCGATGAGAAAACGATAACAGCTAATCGTATACACAGGCGAAGACTGGGAAATGCTGTTCTTTGTTGGGAAGCTGCTATGCACTTGGCTCCCTTTCACGAACCTGGCTTCTTTTATCATGCAAACGAACTTTCCATTCGTCGATCGACCATTGTGCACCGGCTCCTCGTTAAACAGATGGAAAACTACACCTGAGAAGTTTTTTTTACCTCGGAAAAAGGAGTTTCTAGCGTTTGATTAGGTAAATTGAAGGAAGTGTTGTGTGGTCCATGTAGTTTGGTTTTTGAAAAGAGGAATTTTTAAGGGTGAATATACAGGGTGGGCCAAATAACGTGATCAGTAGACGATTTTTATGCAAATTTGTATTTTTGAGAATGTAGTGAAAAGGAGACTTAGGGTAGAAAATTATTTTAGCTACCAGGTGTTAGAAGAAGCACTATAATTTGGATATTTTGAATATTTCTTTCATGTTACGTGCATTCTGTGCAACTTTTTACCTTTAAATTTCCTGTAAATGCATTCTGTGCAATTTTGTACCTTTAAATTTCCTATGAATGCATAAAAATTCGCAGTATAGTGTTCGCCTTGTTAGTAGATCCATAAAAATTTTGTTGTGTCGCAAAATATGTTTCAAAGAGTCCTCCAAGACAATTATAGTAAATTTTATACTAATCTTGCACCTTTAAATTTCCTATGAATGCATAAAAATTCGCAGTCTAGTGTTCGCTTTGTTAGTAGATCCATCAAAATTTTTTTGTGTCGCAAAATATGTTTCAAAGAGTCCTCCAAGACAATTATAGTAAATTTTATACTAATCTTGCCAAGTTTTTCCAAATATTTTTGCATGTTTCGAAAAATATTATATGCCCTCGATACCCTTCTAAAACTCACACCCAAAAAAGTCTACAAAATTATACATAAAAAAAGACCGAAGGTAGACTTGAAAACTTCTTTAAAAAAGAGCCACAGAAAAAAGTCTGAGGTCATCGCCTTGAAGATCCTTCGAGATCGTGTCCTGTATGACAAGTAAAATTTTGATCATGCTAGGCGGACCACCCTGTAAATTCGAGGAAGTAAATTTCCATTTTGGTTGGTTTTTGTTACTTTGTTAAGGATCGCTGAAAGCAGGTAGAGTGGACGGCGACCATGCATCATTACCGTAGAAAGTTGAACGGAAGAAAAGGCGTTGCGATTCACCGGCTATCATTCACTGCTATCCCTTACGACAGATTTTCATCACAGTTGAACGCGTTCGTGGTTGCCAATCCGCTCTACGAGACTGTTCCACCGTGCGAAATTTTATTTCCTCCGTGTCATTTCACGCGTTCAACAATTTCACGCGTTCAACAATTTCACACTGTTTGAACTAACGTGAACACACATACACACACATCTTACCAACCGGCACCCCTTAAATATCAATTTTTATTCATTGTGTGTACGTTAAATAATTGACACGCTAACCAGGTTTTACACATCTATAAACATTCTCTGTGCAGTGTCAAAACTATGCCAGCATGGATCACGTTTTCCATTGGAACAAACGTTCTCCACGTGGCGCGGGAGAGACAGTCATTCGAGTCAATATTAACTAAGCAAACTCGTCGAAACTGTAAAAGACAGACCGTCTCCTCTGGACCATCACGTACGACGTCGTCAATTTCTCGTCTCCTTTCTCCACCAACTGCGTGCAACCGACGAACCACCGATTATAAACTCTTAACCTATTACGTGGGATCGGATAACCTGCGACATTACGGGTATCGTAACGTAGAAAGTCGCGTAAAGGCCGGCGTAGGCTCTTAGGAACCAGGAAACTCGTGAGAAATCCATAATAAGACACTTTCCAGATCTTGTCACGGCTGTTTCCCCGAAAAACACCTCTTTGTTCGCCGAAGAACAATCCCATTCGGAACGTATTCGCGAGATATGGCGCTGTGATTGTGGAAGGAATTGAGGAAATCCACAGACCAACGCGAAATATTCGCGGCAGTGCGATATACTGTGTGTGCTCTTATCGACGTGAACAATTTCTGTTAAGAGTGTGAAATTTTGGGATTTTTTTTCTGGGCGGATTTATTTCGGTCTTCGAAGCGTTTTCTTTGCTGCGACTCTAAATTTGTGATGGAAAAATAGCGAGAAACTTGGAAACGAAAGACACAGGATCCTATGGATCCCATAGATAGACACCAATGCGAAAATTTAGATTTCTTTCGCTCTTCGAGGCGGAGACAAACGTGGAAAAGAAAGGACAGTGGATCTCGTAGATCCCTAAGATATACACCAACGCGGAAATTTAAATTTCTTTCACTCTTCAAGGCGGAGAAAAGCGTAGAAGAGAAAGACACTGAATCCTATAGATCAGTGTGAAATTTTCGTGGCGATAGACACTAACGCGAAAATTTAGATTTATTTCGCTTTCCATGCGGTGACAAACGTGGAAAAGAAAGACACTGGATCCTATAGATCAGTGTGAAATGTTAGTGGCGATAGACGCTAACGCGAAAATTTAGATTTATTTCACTCTTCGAGGCGGAGACAAACGTGGAAAGAAGGACACCAAATTCCACAAATCAAAGTGAAAATTTCGTACTTCAGAGTGAACAAACAAGCGAATTTCTGTAAATATTTCGCGGTAGTCTGAGAATTCCCTTATGGTAGATCGTTGATAGTAATCTCTTTATCAATCATTGCGCGTTAAACAGTGTCTAATTGATAAAAAAAAATTAAACTTGAAACGAAAGGCGAAAATAGTCATTTCTGTTTTAATTACTAAAAATTCTATATGAAAAATGAACTGAATTTTCATGCTTACCAGTCGGTGGTCTTTCTTTGGGATAGCATATCCTGAAGAGACCCTGCGTCCTCGTGTAGTAATAGTATTTCGTATTCATTTGCTCCACCAAGTGGCTCTGCTCGGCATGCTTGGCTGCATATTGCTGCAACAAAACAATTTGTCCGAATGATTCACGCTATCCACAACGATCCCTTTCCTTTTGTGCTTGCCTACCTGTTGCCTGTGCTTGCTTGCGATTCTATTAATTAATCACGCTGAATACAATCGAATCGTAAAACGGCAAAAATGATCTTGAAACGATGATAACCGATGAAAACGATAATAATGAAAACAAGGAACACATTGTTCCAGTGAAAATGTTAAACGATCCTTCCTTTTCACGAATGCAGATCAGCTCAATTTTATGGAAATATTACGGCCGTTAGAAAGTAAGAAAGCAAGAATCGCGATTCCACCATGGAGAATTTCTTCAAGGAATCAGCCTTTCAGAGTACTGTAGCCAAATGTTTTTCAATGCACGGTTGGAAAAAGTCGGCATAAATTACAAGAAATTATTCATACAACAGTTTCACGACTTCGTGCAAACACCAACGTTTCCCAACTTCAGACGATTCCATGGACGATCTAATCGACCTATTCACGAGTCTCTAGTTTGGCAAGAATTGATAATTGCGAGGATTATCAAGTTAGTACACGATTTTAAGAAATAGATTCGTCGATTACTTCAGAATACGATCGAGTTGATTTACGGAATGATCCAAGCTGTACATACGTACTTTCATTTCCTCGGCTTTTAATTTCATCCATATATACAAGATTACGAATTGTGGACACGTCTGCGATAAGATTCGAAACTCTAAGGAAAACCGAGAGAGACCCACATACAGTCTCCCACTAATATTCGGATACTCTTTAAAACAGTATAACTTCTTTACCTGAGCTTGTAATGAAAATTTAAAATATACGTTTTGTAGATCTATGTCAATTCTACACGTGCTGAAAATTTCATCGAAATCGCTTGATGGAGAAACAAGCGACAGGCATACATGACCTATTACAGCTCGAGGCCGAAAGTCGTGAAATAGTGCGATTTTCCCAATCTTTAATCGTTCGTAGCTCACAGCAACGTTGACCGATTTCGATGAAATTTTCAGGATATGTATAATTGACATAAATCCACAAAACGTATGTTTTAAATTTTCATTACAAGCTCAGATAAAAAAGTTATAAACAATGACCCTTACAATTTTCATCATGATTCCCACAAATTGCAATTTTTTCCAAATCTTTTGCACTCGTCATATATTATAGTATACCGATCCTTCTAACTTTTCAAAAAAAACTCAAGTCGGTAGGTCCAATTAAAAAAAAGTTATACCGTTTTAAAGATTGTCCGAATATTAGTGGGAGACACCGTACGTAGCACTCGTTGCTTCGGAGAATCACGTAGCGATTATCTCGTCGAAAATTTTTCGTCGGAAGTTACGTGTACCAGGCGAGGTTGAACCGTAGGTTTAAAAGGAGGAAATTGCGGAAGGAAAGGAAATCGTGGACGATACGAATTTTCAGCGTTTGAACAACGCGAACAACGTTATCCGTTCGCTCGGTCGGGGGGGCCACACTTCCTGAAGAAACGAAGAACGGCCGCGCGTGATCCTAGAAGAAGGAGGCTTAGAGAGCGCGTTTACTCAGCCGTGTCGGCTCGAGTTCCGGACTTTCTTGCGATCGAGGATGCGCCACGCATACCGCCCTCTAAATTAAATGTAATTTTAGATCTTATGACAGCCGGGACGGCAGAGCCGTTCTTCTGCATCGTCGGCCAAGTGTATGAGAGAATCCTTTTACGGTCTCTCCTCGGCATGGAAACGAGTTTCTAGTTTTCCTTTCTTACCGTCCTTTCCCTTTGCCTTTCTGTCGTTTTTTTTTTCCATACGATTGTAAATAGGAATTATTTGTGAAGTAAAAAATTGTATTCTTTTTTATGGTTGTTGAATAATTTTTAAATGGAAAGGTTAAGGTAATATTTAGGAGAGAGTTTCGTACTTTTTCTTGTTACTTTGTAACGAATATTTTTGGGTAACGTGCTAATTATTCCTGGATACACGGTTATTTGCTGAATTTCTGATGTGGCGGAACCAGGACAACGATGTTGCTTAAATCTACCGTGAATAACTAGTATATATACCCACGCTGCCACACGAGTGTGCTACATTTTTTAAAGACCTCTTTTTACCCTCCACTACGGACATTCCGTAAAATGTAACACACGCGTTTATATGCACTACCGTTTAAAGGTCTTAGGTCGTTTACCGGTTTTGACAAACTTTAATTATGTAACGTAAATTCCGTTTTTAGACTTTTTTTTCAACCTGTCTCTGATGTTCCGTATTATTTTCAAATTGAGCAACTTTTTTTTTTGTTCCATGAATATGAATTGAGACGAATGATTTTTTGAGTGCTCGAGTTTTTTTTTTCTTGTGTCTTTTTTAATCTATGTTGATATGCTCTCGTAGAATTCTTGAATTCAGTCCAACTTTAGTTTCTTCTTATTCCCCGAATTTAGTTCTCTTTTCGCAATACTGAAGATTTTTTTTCCATCGAATGTGTTCTGTATTACTTTCGAATTAAGTAATTTTTTTGGATCTCTGAAATTGGTTCTAAATTAAAATGATCTCCTTTAAAGTAGTCGCAACGATGATAACCACGTCATATTGTATCATCGGTGTTTCTCTTCATTTACGGAAGTATATCTTATCTCTACTTGGCTTATATAAACATTTAGCAGCGTAGTGCAGTAAAAATGTGAATAACGATATCATGCCTACAAGTTGTTGCATAAAAATCAACACGTAACACTGCGTTACCATCTATGAATTTAAATTGTATATGACCAAATCGCCTTAAATCTGTTCTATATCTATACACGGTGAATTATGCCGGTGCATCACCGCGTCCTCGACCAGAAAACCACTTACATCACCCTCCACGCTCGCGAATTCCCCGTAAGGAGATCGAGAGAGGCCACGTCACGGTAATTTCCAGGACACTTCTAGCGGGACCCATTTTGTAGAAAGTACAGCGGCGATTTTCTGATACAGCATCTCGTAGAAAGTGTAATAAGCCACGAGGGGTCGCACGGGAAATCTTCCAGCTGGTATGAATCGCTAAGAAGAGCGTTTTCGCGAAGCTCTCGAGGAACTCCTGTACGTTTTATAATGATAGTTACATACGTGTCTATATCGATACCTTTCTTCTTCCAACAAACTTCCAACACAGTGTTTACATCGTCTCGTAGATATCAAGATTCTTCTCTCATGTTTGATGGAATACACAGATACATTCTTCAATAGAATTTTTATTCCTGTTATTTTGCATTTAATTTGATCAATTTTTGAGGTCCTCAAGAATTTTTGATATAAATATCCAAGATATTTTGCAGGATCTTTTTTACCAGATTTCTGATAGTTTTCTGTCAGAATTGTTCACTGATACATTCTTGAATAGAATTTTTTTAATCGTGTCCTTTTGCATTTAATTTCAGTAATTTGTGAGATCATCGAGGATTTTTGAAATAAGTGTCCAAGGGTTGTTGAAGGTTTTTCTTTACCAGATTACTTTACAAAGTTTTAAGTTTTTTACCAAGTTTCCTTTAACACGGTATGTACACAGTGTTTCCTCTTGTAAGAGAAGATTACCTCTATAACAATCGTAATGGCGGCTAATAATTAGCGTCATTTACAACTAACGGTCCACATTCATCCAACTGACAAGGCTTTTAAACTCAGATAAGATCTGTGGAGAGTGATCTAGACAACATAGACTTGTACCCTTTTTGCTACCGTAATTTCTTCATCCTGGGTCTGCAATTTTGGTATCAAGAAACATGGCGGTGTGGTCAAGCGCCATCCAACTTTTTCTCCGGTAACTGTAAAACGCAGGAAGGAACTGTGTTTTTCCTACTTCCCCCCCTGTTTAGCGCCTTAACTCTCGCACGTACTTCCTTGCGAGCGTAATTCAGAAACTGGTTTCCTCTGAAAATAGCGTTCTCCCCGTTCGTGTTTCGGCGCGATTACGCTAAAGCACACCGATCGAAGTTGTATATCGGGGCCTCCCTATAATCGTTTCCAAAGAAACTCTCTGACTCGCGCGATTCAACTGGGGAACTTGAGAAATTCCGCGTCCCACGTTGCCGCTCGATTACAAAGCGATAATCGGCCTCTGAATACACGCTCGTTGCAAGATCCTCTTAACCTTGGTGAACACCCTACCCTCCTACAACATTCCTCTTCCACGGGAATACACAATAGGCGTGATGAATGTTCAACGACATTGCCACCTCTCGATTTTCTAACTTTTCTCATTTTTCTTTGCGCATTTTATCGACTTAACAAGTTTATTTATTCAGATAGACACGATTATAGATCATTCTGAGAGATTGTAAAAGTAGAGAGGTTTTATAAATACGTATTGAAATTTCGAATGGTAAGACAAAGAGCTAGTTTTTTTATTCAACGATGAATCATCAACACGAATTCCTTTCTTTTTCGATCGCTCCTAGAATAGAATGCGTTGAAATTACACATATAAAGTCAGTAAATCGAAGAAAAATTCGATGGACCAAAACCGGGAATCGAACCCACGACCTCAGATTGGTAGCCCGGGACTCTGCGCCCACAGCTAAAGCGGCTTCTTAATTTTCTTGTTATTACGCCTTTTAATAGTTGTAAAGCCCCCGAGTGAAATTACTTTCTCATGTTTATCGTAAATCGAGACTGTAACATTACCACACACACCACAAGACCGTCCGTTTATTAGTTCACGGATTACGATATCGCTAAAGCAACGATAGCACTAAGAAAACAGCATAGCACTATCTCTAGTAACCAAGAAACTCCGAGTCAGTTCCTCGAGTGATTACTTTTTCCCCAAACAAACGGTATCTTCTTTCTCAAACAGATTCGTTCCATCGAACACGACGTTTAACGCCGGAAAATGCGTCAGATTACACAATTAACGAACAGGTGAGGCACGTGTACACACGTTGCAACCGTAGAGAGAAAGAGAAGTGTAGGTTGTGGCGCGCGTGCAAGGTACACGTGAATCAACGGCACGTATAACGGGCGTACGGTCCTTAATCGTTTG